CCCCAGGAAGGCCTGCCTGTCTTGTCCCCTGACATTAATGGTACTTGCTAAGGACTAGTCCCAGTGACATGGAAGTTTCTGGTGTATTTCCCTCAAGGTCGTGAACAGGCTGAACTAACTGGTCTCCGACTTGCAAGCTTGGGGTTGAAGTTTAATAAAATTGTCCATTCCTCCATGACCCGTGCAGTAGAAACCACTGACATCATTAGCAAACACCTGCCAGGTGAGTGCCAGGCACCCCTAAGTCCCTTGGCCACAGGTGGGGAGGGAGGGAGCCGGGCTGAGGCCAGGGCCTAGAGCCGCTTCTGAAGGAGCACACTGAGTCACCTGCTGCTCCCCAGGGGTCTGCAAGGTCAGCACAGACCTGCTGAGGGAAGGTGCCCCCATCGAGCCCGACCCGCCTGTGTCCGACTGGAAGCCCGAAGCTGTGGTAAAAAAAAAAACCGTAACAGTGGTCTTCCTCCTGGGGGGCTTCCCCAACTCCACCCTGGCTGCCTCATTCTCCCCATGCTCCTCGACCTGTGGCCTGTGTGCTGCCTGCATACTTAAGGTTTTTACTCTGCCCCCAGCAGTATTACGAAGATGGAGCCCGGATTGAGGCCGCCTTCCGGAACTATATCCACCGGGCAGACACCAAGCAGCAGGAGGACAGTTACGAGATCTTCATCTGCCACGCCAACGTCATCCGCTACATCGTGTGTCGGTGAGGGGCCACTGACAGCTCCTGTGGCCTTTGTCCCATGTCCCCTCTGTCAGACTGTTCCATCTCCTCGTCTTTCCTCCTCTCATGACCTTGATGCCTCCCAGGGAGCCTTTGGGTTGTCTGGTAGAATACCTTTCAGTTTGGAGTTACTCATGATCATGTGCTTTTGGCAGGAATAGCACAGGCGAGACCTGCTTATCCCAGTGTGGGTCTAGGTGCCTGACGCCAATGGCCTCTCCTGGGTGGTGGTCACTTGGCTAAGCTCTGTGCACTGGACTTTTCACACTGGCTGTTACTTTCCCACTGGGGATTGGTCAGTGTTGGGAGACAACGCAGACACCCTGTTTCCTTCCAGCTTATACTGACTGTATGTATCATTTGGGTGGTGGGTCCTTCCTCAGCAGTTCACTCTGGTGTTTGACCCAGTTGCTCCAGTGCTGGCTGTTGGGAGCTCCTTCCTGGGCTCCTGTGTCCTCTGGACCTTCCCTACTTCCTGGCACTATGGAAAGTTCTGGGGTCCTTGTAAGTGCCTCTTGCCCTGAGTGGCAGCTGTGTCACAGGACCCTGTAAGTCAGAAGGCCAGCTGGGTGTTTAATGTGTTTAACCAAATCTCACTGAATGCAAATGTAGAAATAGTGAACAGTCTTGCTCCTGGATCCATTAGAAAGTATTTGTCAGATGCTTCGGTAGCAGAGGGGCTCCTCTTCTCCTTTGATGAGTCTAGCAGTGGGATAGGACACAGCTTGGCCCTTTGGCCCTTGGTACTCATGAGCTTGACGTTTGAGCCCATTGCTGGGGCTGTGGAGGCTGAGCCCCTCTGATGTCACATGTACAGTCCCTGGTGAGAAGCCCAGGAGCTGGGGTTCTTGGCTTGCTCAAGGGTGCTCCAAACTAGATTGAGTGCTGCTGGGCTTTGGACAGGTGGTCACTTGGGGGCTCCCTGCCTCCAACTGACGTGCCCCCAGAGGCACAGTCCCAACGCTTCTGTGTCCCGTGCACTGCCCTGTATGCTGTGCTGGTCCCTGTGGATGTTCCAGACAGGACCAACCTGAGCAGTCACTAGGAGGAAATCCCAGTGTGGGAAATGAAGCAGAAGTAATCAGGGACTTGGAGTAGAGGTACCTGTGTTACATGCAGGACGGGACAAAGCCAGAGTGTTACTGTGATGTTCTCCATGTTGAGGGTGGCCCTGAGAAGCCTTTAAAAGGCAGCTGCTCCCTGAGGTTGACAATTCATGGCAGGAAAACTTGGGAGCAGATGGCAGTGAGGGGTGCCATGGGCATGCTGCTAGTCCCTGAGACTTTCAGGGTCACAAAGGGTGTCTTGGTGGCTGACTTGGAAGCCAAAGTAATGCTGGGCTTCTCAGCAAATACTACCTGCGCCTAAAAAGTATTTTTAGGAGCATGAAAATGCTCCATCTGTCCCAGGGCAGGAAGGACCAGAAATGGACCATGCACTATCGGGCTGCCTATAACGTCTTGGTTTTACCCTGGGAAAACAAATTAAATTGCGGGCACTTGTTAAGAAACAGTTTATTTCTGACGCACTGCAGATCTTGAGTTGGGTTGATCTGCCTCCCAGAGGGGCAGGGCTGTCCCCTCATCCCTTAGTTGATGGGCTCGCAGCCCCTTGCTCTGAGAAACCTCTTGTCTGAGAACAGGAGAGTGATGCTAGTCCCAGCCCGCTGAGTATCTGCTCTGAGACCTTCCCACCTGGGCTCAGGTGCCGTCAGCTCTGCTGGGACCCCAGCCCATCTTGAGGCAGAGCTCCCTGTGCTAGCATGTTTCCCCCTCCTACAGGGCACTGCAGTTTCCTCCAGAGGGCTGGCTTCGCCTCTCCCTTAACAACGGCAGCATCACCCACCTGGTGGTCCGGCCCGATGGCCGAGTGGCGCTCAGGACCCTTGGGGACACGGGGTTCATGCCTCCTGACAAAATCTCCCGCTCCTGAGGCCTGCCTCAAGGACCAGCTCTCTGCAGCACCCTGCCCGGCTCTGGCCGGGGTGCCACTAACAACGTGGGCTTGNGCTTGCACCGTGGTCCTTCCATCTTTCTGGGACAAGGTGACAAAAAAGCCCGTGTCTGAAATGCCAGCATCTCAGCACCTGTGCCTGGACCAGGATGGAAGAGACGTTCAGGTCAGATCAGCCTGCTTTCTCTGAAGGTTTTCTACTGACTCATCACTTTTGATGTCACAGATGCCAGCACTGTGGGGACCACAGCAAATCTGCACTGACAGGTCTTAGGGTCATGACCACAGCTGGCTGGCTACCCTCCCAGGCTCATCAGCAGAGCCGAGGGGCTCAGAAGGAGGGCACCAGCGCTTCCATTTGTAACTTACCTTGCTTCACGCATTCTTTCCAAATCTTTAAACCCTTTGCCATTTAAAATTTTTGTCAATTGGAGATTGTCCTCATCTGGGCTCTTGCTTTGAAAACCAATTTCATCCTCCAGTGTTAGGCATCTCTGGAGCTGCACACAGGGCACCTGGGCAAATGCAGCAGGTTAAATGGCCTGTTGTTCTGGGACAGGGGCAGCCCAGGAGGGTCCCGTTCCAGTAAGATAGCTGACAGCTTGATCATTGCCTCTGGCTATTTGTCTTTTGTGATTCTGTATTAAATTATTTAGACATGATATGTCCATCCCAAATATAGTTTAGAAAAATCAGTAGTTTCTGTGATTGTTATGAACATTTTCTTTGAATTAGTGCAACCAACTAATTGGGGTGTTTGATCCATTTCTGTGTCAATTTTGAAAATAACTACAAAATAAAATTTTATGTTCCTGATTTTTCAAAGTACTAATTGTGAATGTTTTGAAGGAAACTAGAAGCCTGTGCAGCAGCCCCAAAATTTGTGAGGTAGTTTCAACAAGAAGCTCTTTTCAACAGCATTTCCTGAACCCAGGGCTGCTGGCCCTAGAGAGGCCTAGACCCAGGGCAGTGAGCTCAGTGAGTGGTGTTCTAGAAGCAGAACCGTGTGGTCTTCTCCAGAAGTTTTGACAAAGCAGGGACAGTGCCAGCTTTTCAAACCACAGAAGTACCAGGCAGCCTTCATGTCTGACCACAGGCATGAACAAACAAGGGGCCATAGGGCCTCACACCCACAGAGCCTGAGCCCTGGCTCCACGGCCCAGGATGCCTGGTGGTGGCAGTCTCTGCTCTGTCCCTTGGGGTTTGTGTAGCCACCTTTCTGTTTGTCTGCAGGCCAGCCCTTTATGCTTGACTTCTAAGAAGCAGGGCAGCATTGGGAAACCAGAAACAAGCCCACATGGGGGTCGAGGGAAGTTATGGGGGTCAAGGGATTCCAGTGACATCAATGTGGAATCACCCCAAGGTAGGACAGATGTCAGTAACAATATCCTGCTTGACCAAAACAAAAACTTTACACCAGGAACCTATGTAAGACCAGGGAACCCAAGCTGACTGCAGCAGGGATGGTCACTGCAGTGCAGGCTGCTGTTTATTCCAAAATACTTGGAGACAGTATCAAGAAAGGAACATAAGTGCAATTTGTAAGCTAGAGAATATTTACATGTTCTTGTACACAAATGTAAAATGTCAGCCTGACAAGACACACTTGTCTGGAACAACCCAGCGGAATGTTCCTGGCTCAACACGATGGGACAGTGATGTGTTATGTTCAAAACTGCACCTAACTGAGCAGTTACCCCACAACCACTATTTCCTCTGAACACTGGACAGTTTGTGGAAACATCCACAAATTATTCAAGAGGATTTATGCTTCTTTGCCATGTGTGGCAGGTACTCATTTTAGAATGCTGGTGCTTGCTTTCCCTCCAGACACAGGGAATTTACCACAGTCCCTGCACTGTGGCCTGGGGGACAGTGTCCACCTGCTGGCAATGTGATTCACATCACCTCCAGGATGGAAGCAATAACCCACCCAGATGTCAACGTTACAGGAGAGGCTTCTGGTTTCTGGGGGCAGGTATGAAAACTGCTAGCTTAAAGTAATGCCCAAAAGGTTTCACAGCTTTGTTACAAAAGGGAAACCAGAAACAGCCAGTAAACCGCCGTCAGGTAAGTACGCTGTGTGTTTCATCAAAACACTGCTTAAAATTTTACTAAAAAGGACATTTTGTCTGGAGAAAGGTGAGGGAGGTCTTTATGAAAGCTTTAAATTATTACCACATGGTTCTAAAAATAATTTATTTCACTAAGTAGTTTAAAATAACATAAAAGTCACAATAGGACACATGGTAATTTATTTGCTGGGACCAGAGCCATCTTATGGAGATAAATGGAGAAATAGTCAAAGAAGGCCTAAAACTTGAAGAACAGGGACAGCAGTCTGCAAAATTAGGGCAAAAACACTATTTTAATTTCCATCTGAACATTTACAACAACATACAGGGTGGTATATAAGACTAGAGAAAAAAGAGATCACTGTGGACATAGTGCCCTATATTCTGATTTTTGAGAACAGATGCCTTTTTAAAATGCCTGGTTTTTAGAATGTATTTTTCCTACATCCACATCTGCGCACATCCAAGTAGTCTGCTACACAAGTGAAAACACCAACACCCTTTTGAATTTTAAAATCTAAATTTGATTCCAATACTCCTGACCTGTTTGTTATCAACTAAAAGGAACTTTTTTTTACACATTTCAATTCAGAATCTTTAAGAATGAAAAATAATCTCACACCTACTTAGTATCACTGTATATTCTCAAACAGCAAGTTCAGGAAAATAAATGATTTACAAAAGGCACTGAAGTTAGCAAAAGCACTAGAAGTTTCCATTTTGGGTCAAACACTGGAAATGTTCACCAAACACTGCTTGTGAGTGAGCAGTTGTTCATAAGAGCCCAGAAAAAATAAGCCTTCCACAAGGCGCTTGGTCTGGGGCATCAGTGGGGGCACACGATGCTATGGTGGCTCCCATGCTGTGTGCACAGGTCCTCGAAAGGGTACAGCCAGGGGGAGGCTAAAAGAAATGCAATAATGTACCTGAACTGGGTTCAAACCTGTCAAAAGCAATCTGCTACTTTCTGTATTAAAACACCATGTTCTTTTATGAAGGAAATCCAACTGAAATGAATTCTGAAATATAGGATAAACTTCTAAATTAAGGGGCCACTGACAGGTCATTTAATTACCACTGACCCTGACAACTGAACAGCCAGCTGTCAACACTCAGGTGCTGGTGAAACAAACACGTTAAGTGACTGCCAGCGAGTTTCCTAGAACTATTTGCACGACTCCCAAAGCCTAGATTTTTTCCAAGAGAAAAAAAAGCTAGCTTTACCTCTGGTCACTAAATGTTTTTAATGACTATTAACTTCACTGCAAGTCTAAGACATCTACTTTATCTAATATTCTCTCCAACTGGGACTCACTGGCAAAGATTTCTTACCCCAAACTAGAAAGTTGAAGACTCTCCCCAGAGAAGGAAGTGGCACAAACTCAACTGTGAGAACTGAGTTGAAGAGAGCACAGCTACTGTAGGGTGGTGCTGCAAACACAGCCAACCCCCACTCTGGGGTGACTTTCTGGAAGCACAACTTGCCCAGAACCGTCCTGTTACATATGCAAGTGGGAACAGTAACTGGAATGT